GCAAGACTCCACTGCTGAAGAAACAGCATGTTGAAGCTCCTTTAAAGTTTGCTGCACAACATTTAAACAAGCCTGTGAAATACTGGGAGAATATAGTCTTACAACAATGTAATCCGTGTACAGTAAACTGTCTCCAATAGTATCGGATAAGAGGCCTTGAGCCATCATTATTTTACTCCCACCGTTATATGTGACAGTTTCATCTTTTCGCTTCTTCTGCAGGTGTGCGCTGCTCTGACAACTGCAGCTTCACACAATCTGTCACTCCTCTTTGCTCACGGCAAAAATACCAGAGGACAGTGTGTMAAATATGTTTTATGTTCCCCAAGCACTTATTTAAGAGCGTCTCTGATTCACATTACAATAAATTCCTCATTTCCCTGCATGTAGACCTTATTTTTGATTGTACAGATCATTTACATTAAAGCATCTATTTGCCTATTTACTTCAAGGCACGTCAGGGGAAAGGGGTTTTCACCTGCGCTCAGGTCCATATTTGTGGGGTTGGTTGAAGTAAAGGTGCACAGAAACATGCTTGTGCACAGTTTAATAAATCTGAATATTTTTGTGCACATGCAGTATTTGCATCTGTCCCTTCACCAACTTCCTCTATGAAAGCTGTGAAAGCTTTGGTACATGAGGCCCCAGGTGCTTCTGATCAAACACATTGGATGTCATTAGTGTGATTTTTACTAACCTGCTCTGAAGCATAAAGGTGTATGTTAACATAAAGATGAATAACATTGGYTGACTGTTAAAAAACACAACTGGTGCTGCTTATTAATCTGGGAAAAACGTCAATTCCAATAGAGTTTCCATCATCYGACAGAGAGAAAGATAATTCACAAGAGAAAGCACTTAAGATGGCTTACCATCTTTCCAGGAGTGAACGTTCCAGCAAAGTCAACCTGAGATCAGACAGTGCAATGCTCAAAGAAATCACAAAGTCCTTTTTCAGATGGTGTCAATGTTAGGCAACATTAACGCAGTATATCAGCACTAGAACCTCATACCAACAGTTAAGCACAGTGGTGGAGGGTTAATGACTGAAGGCTTGTTTTGTAGCTACAGAACCTGGGGTACCTTGCATTTATAAAAGTCGACCATAAACTCTTCTGTACCAAAATATTCCAATGCCAAGCATGAGTCCATCTGTCCAACAGCTGAAGCTTTGGTCCAAACTATGTCACAAAACAGGGCAATAATCTTAACAAAGCAGAAAATCTTCAACAGAATTGCTGAAAAATAAGAAGCAATAATGTAGCAACGTGTGACCAGTTCAAATGATGCACCTCTGTGCAGAAATAAATGTCCTAAAACCTCAATAAACTGAAACAAAAAACTCATTCAAGTTATTGCTWCTGAAAGTGGTTGTATAAGCTGTTCCACCATGAGACGTACAGTTTTTCACACAATGTTTGCATTTGTTTCTGTGTAATAACCAATGACATGGTGGAATCTGTTGTCTTTTCGTTTACTTGAAGTTAGGTTTGATCACCTTTAGAATTTGGCAAAGACAGACCACTTTTATTATCCTGATACGTAAAACCCTATAATTATGGACTTCCTTTTTCCCATGACTGTATGCTTCACCTTTTGTCTTTTTTGTGTTGTACAAAGAGGACCGCACTGTTGACAACAAAAACAGATGTCTCAGAGAACTAACAAAAGAAAGGAAGAAGCAGCAACATGCAAAACAACRAGGACACTGAAAGTCCTTTGTATTTCTGCCTTCCTGAGTTGTGCAGCTTTGAAACGTGGAGGTGTGCTGCGGAGTCTGAGGAACAGAAAAGCAAAGAAAATGACTTCAAATGTTTTTCGTGTGAAATACTTTTTTTAAGTCTTCCTTCTCTGAGAATAAAGCATTTTGAGCAACAGGCTTCTTCTTCGAACTTGTCTGCTGTGGATCTGAGTGTGTTCAACAGACTGGTGGAAGGGGTTTTTGAACTACCGTGGACTCCTCGGCCTCCTTATTTAATCTACACTGCTACAAATTTACCCTGATTTTCCTACCATCGTCCTAAAGAATGAGTTAGCTGCACATSCTCAGCTGTATTGAAAGTTGATCGTGTGAGAAGCTGCATGTAGGGTTTTTGGGGGGTGGGAGTTAACTGAATGCCAATAACTGGTGGAGCAAATCTGCAGATCAGTGTGGTTGGTCTGGGTTAGGACAGGGCACCAGATCCAAATTAAAATAAACCTAAAATTAGAGACAAACTCAGTCTGTTTTCATTTTTTATCTGTTTCTTCTTCTTCTTCTTCTTTTGCTCGTCTTTCTTCTTTTTATTGTACCTCCCAGTCCTCCAACCCTGTTTTAGTTAGGCACGTTTCACCCAAAACATCTTCTACAGTGTTGTGTCAAAGTGATGTGCTGGCTACCATAAAAAGAGTTTAAGTTCGGAAAGTATAAGCAAAATATTTTTAAACAAAGGTCAGATTCCTGGTTTAAGAAGTCAACGTTTGTAATCTCATTCAGGATCTTCTTTTTCTCCTGAAGTCTCTGATTGTGGGAGGATTTCCTCTTCTTCCAAAGCTGACACTTCTTCCCTTTCGTCAAGGTCGTCTCCCGACTCTTCTTCCTCTTTGCTAGCCTGCTCCTCTTCCTCCTCTTTGATCGCTGTGATTGGATCCGAGGGGTTGCCTAAGCAGTTGGGCCTTTGTTCCTGAGCCTCCTCGGAGGCCTCCGCTGCAATCACACGTTTCCACATCTCGTGGTTTTCCAAAAGGTGCTGCGTGATCTGACAAAACACCTTCCTCCTGTGCACCTTTTTCATTTCTTGCTGCTCTGCAAGACAAAAGGGCAATCGTTACGTAAGTACTTCGGAAAACCTTCAAGATTTACCAAGTTAAATACGAGAACGATCCGGTTTCTTAGGAATTTAGCCGCCAAACTATTTACTGAATCACTTGTTTATTGAATTCATTAAAAATGTCGAGAGAAAAAGAACAAACAAACAAAAAAAAAACTCTTTTCATGTCAGATTTTTACTTTGTTCTCAGTGGTACTTGGAAATATAGTTTGGATACACTTTTAATTTGCCCAACATTTAACATTAAAAAAACAATGGAGGACTAAACTGATCCTTTTATTCCATTTGAGAGTTTCTATCAAGCCAAGAAAATGCTTCTGATCCTTTAACTAAAAACGGTCCCCATAATGTCTACATTTGCACCAGTGATAAAAAGKAACAAAAAAGGCGAATAACTCAAGTGGTTATGGCTCTGTCCACTGTTCACTTCCACACCTCTGTGGTGGCCATWGCCATAAATTTGAGTTTTGTGGATTGAAAAAAAGTGCCAATTCAAATTGCCAATTATAGCACGAAAGACAATTCAGATTGATTACAAAGTTTTACAACCTTTATTACTACCTTAGTTTAGAAACACCATGCCAGAAATGGTTTTGTTAACAAAAACAATGTTTAGATTGACTAGCTGTTATACTGCAACTTTAAGATTAGGTTTTAAAACATGGTGGAAGTGTAGCCTGCCAAAACATGGCCTTACATGYTTTAATTTGTTCAGAGGATGGCTAATGAACTCAATTACACAATTATTGTGCAGTTTCCTCCTCCCTGACTGCTTTTGGGCAGATTAAAAATATGTAGAAGAAGTCTATTTACCACTTACATCCTTTGTTGGACCATCTTGTTGCAAACACCTGAGCGTTAAACCCAGAAGTATTAAAGATATAAACTAGACAGATGAAAGCTTAATAGAATAGTAAAATGACAAGACTGACATACGGGAGGCGTCAGAACCTGTGGAGGCTTCCTCGTCCACTGTGTTCTCTTCTTCTTCTTCTTCTTCTTGTTCTGTGTCTTGTCCCTCTGTTCCTACCTCTGGATCCAACTGGTCGGATGGGTCGACCCAGCGCCCCGGCATGAGAGCAGCAGTGTCGTAGGAGGAGCACAGAGGGCCCACTATGTGATTGATGAAGGATTCCTGCAGCTTGGCGAGCTGCGGGGCRGACCGGTCCATGAATGGACTGATAGGAAGGCCCAGGGCTGCTTCTTCGTCACCCTGGTGGAACATAAAACTGTCATCTTAAACAAGGTACTGAGATGACCTCATACAGTTTATATAACTATCATAAAGACAATATTTTCTCTGGACACAAAGCATCTTGATTAACCACACAGCACTGCACATAAATACCATTTAAATTATGTTATTATTGCCCACTGGGAAAGGTGGATGATAATTGTTTCGTGTCTGTTTGTTTGCCACCAATCTCCATGTTACCATAGCTCATGAAAATCTGAACTAATTCATAAAAAACTTAATAACTTTTGAGGTAAATTCTATTCGAGATGGCTGCTGCAGCGACCAGAACATAAAAAAAAACCCCAAACAGACTAAAATGCTGTCAGTTTTACAAATATTGAATTAAAATGGGCTGTGGTAGGAGCTGAGACTGATTTTAAACAGACACTGATTAATAAATTGTGCAAGATTTTCCATTAGTTGTTCAGTCTAATCTGTGTTCTCATGATGCACCAGACTCATTTAAAATGAAATTTTGAGGAAATATACATTAGATGTACAAGTTACTTTTAGAATCAACCCAAGTAAATTGACATTAGAAAACCAAATAAAATGATCCGGTCAGTGTTACAGATATTGTTGTAAAATGTAGCGTGTTTGGGGGTGAGAATCCTGTCTTTGTGTAAGATCTTTGTCTAAAACTTTGAGATTAAATGTTGGTGTCAACACTGTTTGCCTGGTTGAATTTTAGCCAAACTTCAGAAAGAAATTATTTGATGTATGTCAACAATTGTCAATTTACTTAACCACGTTATGTTACCTGGTTCCACTTAACTGAGTTGAGTAAATGCAAAGCACCATACTCATGTTCTTTGGTTAAAAACTGGTATATTGCTTTGAATTTACTCAACTCAGTTAAGTGGAACCAGGTAACATAACATGGTTAAGTAAATCCAACATTTCATTTTTTACAGAGTMTGTGATGTTGCATGAGATTGTGCATAAGTCTATTTTACCTTTTGACCAGTTTCGAGTAATATAAAGCTTATTAGGATAATTAAAAACAAGATTTTGTTTGTTTGCAGTCTAAATTAGTCTTATCTAACACTTCATAGTTCAGACCGTTATTCTGAAAATATCTAATTAAATTATTTGCAAGAAATACATGGTAACAAAATTGACTCTACGTTTTTATATGAAGTGCACAGTATCAAACATATGATTAATACATTTAGAATACATCCACAGTGAAGTAAGAACTCAGCTGTCAGGCACAGAGAGTCCCAGATACACAGCCTCTGGGCTCAGACTCCTGAAACTAGGTCAAGAAGACTGCAAATAGAGAAAGATCACGTCAAACTGTGGCTAATCTGTAGATTCAAATGAGACTGAGGAGAATTCACACAGCAAATCTACAGTCTGTGTGTTTGCACGCCAAACTGTCAAAATAAACCTGAAACGAAAATATTCACATAAATTCAAAATATTAGACTGCTGACATCATTTCACAAACACTGAGTCATTTTGTTTCTTAAACCTCGAGATGTCTAATGGTTTTGTGTGTCTAATTATTTACAAACAAAGCTAAATGCAAATATTTCAGAGGAAATGAGAAATTACTGTTGCAGACTTTTTCTTTTAAAGGGGAAATATTATGTGTTTCTCAGGCATACATTTAAATACTATACCATTAAAAAATATCTGTCACCTTTAGTTGTTATTAAAATGCTGTTTTTATGTTTAAATAGAAAATAAACATCTTCTCATCACTTCCTCTTCTAAATGCCTTGAAATTGGCCTCTGTCTCTTTAAGAACCACCTTCCACTTCTGTCTCGCCCATTTCGGTGCACGGGGTGTGTGTGTGTGTGTGTGTGTGGGGGGGTTCACGCGCGCAGGAGTGGGTTGTTTCGCGCGTGTGCTATGATGCAGTTTACTTGGCATTTGAAAATTCATTTCCTCAAAGGTATTTTGAATCTGAAAAGTGCTTCACTGAGGGAGAAACTAATGTTGAGAGCTCAGCAGACAGTTTAAGTTTCACTTTCACCTGAGAGCCTGCAGGAGTCATGGGTGAGTGGGTGGGGGTGTGGCTGCCATGAGAAAGTTCGGCTTAAAGACACGCCTCAGGAGCGTTTTATGGTCCCGAAAGGCGTTTCTGGTCTCCACCTGTTGTTTTGCTCCTCAGCATGGTTT